TACATAGGAAGAAATTTCACCCAAGAGGTAAAAGTACTGTACACTCAAAAGTATAAGACACTGATGAAAGAAATCAAGAAAGTAAAAAATAAATGTGTTCATAGATTGGGAGAATTAATATTGTTAGTATGTTAATACTGCCCAAAGCAATCTACAGATTCGGTGCAACCCCTATCAACATTCCAACTGCATTTTTCACAGGGATAGAACAATCTTAAAATTTGCATGGATCCACAAAAGACTTTAAAGAGCCAACACCATCTGGAGAAAGAAGAACAAAGCTGGAGGCATCACATTTCCTGATTTCAATCTATATCACAAAGCAGTAGCAATCAAAACAGTATGGTACTGGTATAAAAATAGACATATTTCAATGGAACATAATGGAAAGTCTGGAAATAAACCTATGCATATATGGTCAATTTCTTTGTGACAAAGGAGCCAAGCATATACAATGGGGAAAGGACAGTTTCTTCAATAAATGGTGCTGGGAAAACTGGACAGCCACATGCAAAAGAATGAAACTAGACTATGATCTTATACAATACACAAAAATTGACTCAAAATGTATTAAAGATTTGAATTTAAGACCCAAAACCATAAAACTCTTAGATGACGACTTGGGGGTAAGTTCCTTGACATAGATCTTGGCAATGATTTTTTGGATTTGATGCCAAAAGCAAAAGAAATCAAAGCAAAAATAAACAAGTGGGACTACACCAAACTGAAAAGCTTCTACACCAAAAAAGAAAACCATTAACACAATGAAAAAGGCATTCTTCTGAAAGGGAGGAAATATTTGCAAATTATACATCTATTAAAAGATTGATATCCAAAATCCATAATGAACACCTACAACTCAGCAAAGAAAACAAACAATCCAATTAAAAAAGGGCAGAGTAACTGAATAGATACTTATCCAAGAAGACATACAAATGGCCAACAGGTACATGAAAGAGGTGCTCTACATCACTAATCATCAAGGTAATGTAAGACAAAATGCAGAGATCTCAATCATACCTGTTAGATTATCATCAAAAGACAAGAGATGTGGGAGCCTGCGTGTCTCAGTCTGTTGAGCAACTGACTCTTGATTTCAGTTCAGGTCATGATCTCAGGGTCATGAGATCAAGCCCTGTCTTGGGCTCTGCGCTCATTGGGAGTCTGCTCTTCTGCCTCTGTTCCTCCCACTGCTCCCGTGCATGTGCGCACTCTCTCTCTCTCTCTGTAAAATAAATAAATAAATCTTTAGGGGGGAAAAAAGATGAAATAACAAGTACTGGTGGGGATGTGAAGATAAGAGGAACCATGTGCACTGTTGGTGGGAATGTAAATTGGTACAGCCACTATAGAAAACAGTATGGCGATTTCTTAAGAAAAAAATTAAATATAGAACTATCTTATGATCTACCAGTTCACTGTTCAGTAGTAAATCTATAAGAAATGAAAACAGGATATCAAAAGAAATATTTGTACTCCCATGTTTATCATAGCATTATTCAGAATAGTTAATATGTGGAAACAACCTAATCTCAGCCGGTGGATAAATGGATAAGAAGATGTGATGTGCACGCGCGCGCACGTGCGCGCACACACACACACACACACACACACACATGAATATTATACAGTCATGAGAAAGCTGGGAGTCCTGCCATTTGTGACAACATAGGTGGACCTTCAGGGCATTATGCAAAGTGAAATAAGCCAGACAGAGAAAGATAAGTACTTGCATGGTATCACTTATTAAGTGGAATCTAAAAACAAAAAAGAAGTCAAACTCATAAAAACAGAGAGTAAGAAGGTGGTTGCCAGTGCCAGTTGTGTATATATGGAGAATGTGGTAAAAGGGTACCAGGTATAAGATGAACAAGTTCTGAGGATTTAAAGTAAAAGATGAATAAGTTCTGAGGATTTAAAGTAAAATACAGTAATAGCTACTGCCTTTGAGCTTTGATAACCTATAATAGTTCTCAGATTGAAGAACAACAACAAAAAAATCTGGCATTAGTGTAAAAAGAAAAAGTAAAACACAGTGACTAATGTTGTTAACATTGTATTGTACAACTGAAATTTGCTAAGAGAGTAGAGCTTTAATATTCTCATACACACACACAAAAGTTAAATATGTATGGTAATGGGTTTGTTAATTAACTAGATGGGAGGAATCCTTTCACAATTTATATCAAATCCCCACAATATACACTTTAAATATCTTAGTATATCTGTCAATTATACTTCAGTGGAACTTAAAAAAAAAAAGTTAATTTGTATGTATATAAACAGAGCCTTACTGAACTGCCTGCATGACTTTTTTTTTTTTTTAAATAATGTGGTGTGGGGGTGCCTGAGTGGCTCAGTCAGTTAAGCAGTTGCCTTTCCTGAGACCGAGCCCCAGGTCAGGCTCCCTGTTCAGTGGGGAGTTGGCTTCTCCCTCTCCCTCTGCTGCTCCCCCTGCTTGTGTTCTCTCGCTTGCACTCTCTCTCTCTCTAATTAATAAATAAAATCTTAAAAAAAAATAATGTGGTACAGGTTTTTTACTAGAATTATGATTGTTGAATAGAAGTCATGGTGTTTCCATTCCTAAGTTTTGTTGCATATGATGAGAATTTCTCTGGGCAGATTGGAACAGAGATATTCTGTAAAGCACCAGTACAGTTCCTAATAACTAAAAGCAAGCTCAAATGCTGATTCTATCTTATGGCTCTAGATATTCCCACATACAGAGAACTGTTCTGCATTTATTTTTACTCTATCTTTTGACTTTTCATCTTATAATTCCTACAGTTTACTTGTGAGATTCTACAGTTTACTTGGGGATGTGGCCTTTCAGATTGCATTTTTTTCTTTTTTTCTTTTTTCTTTTCTTCGTAGTCATAGGATTGAAAAACCAACATTTGACAAATAACTGTCTAGATCATTGAACAAAAAATACAGTGTTTTGCTTTTTTTCTGTATTTATTATGAGTTTCTTTTTAAGTAGTACTCTCTAAGAGGCAGTTGATATATCATTGAAGCTAAGCTTATGAACTCTGGAGCCAGACTGCCTGGGTGTGCATCCAGGTGTGCCACTTATTACATGTCTCACCTTGCATAGGTGTTTAATTTCTCAGTGCCTCAGTTTATCATGTGTAAAATGAAGATGACAATAGTACCTACTTTTATAATGTTTAGAGAAGGAATATAAATGAGTTACTTTCTGTAAACAGAAGGCTATGAAGCGGAGCTTACACATATATTAAGTAGAGATAGACATTTTTATAAAGTAGAGGTTCTTTGGCATATTTGTGATTATGAGAATTATATATATATATTTATATACTACACATTTAGAAATAATAGTGCCATTGAAAAACAAGTGTCTATAGAAAAACAAAGTAGGGGGGCGCCTGGGTGGCTCAGTCTTAAGCATCTGCCTTCGGCTCAGGTCATGATCCCAGGGTCCTGGGATTGAGTCCCACATCGGGCTCCCTGCTCAGCAGGAAGCCTACTTCTCCCTCTCCCACTCTCCCTGCTTGTGTTCCCTCTCTCGCTGTTTCTCTCTCTGTTAAAAAATAAATAAAATCTTTAAAAAAAAAAGAAAAAGAAAAACAAAGTAGGTAGTATGATAATATACATAATATGTATAAAAATAAGACCTTTCAGTCATTTCAGTGGAAAGAGCATAAGGTGCAAGTAAAAATCATAACAAAATCAGTAACACCAATGACTATTTCTTGAAGGTTTAAATGCTGGGCACTATGATAAGTCTTTTCTGGTTTCAACAACTTATTTCATCATCTGGCTAGTTATGTAATATTGGAGAATTTCCTTAACCTCTCTCTAAGCTCTGTTTTTTTCATCTATTTGGTAATTATTGATATTTGTTCTTTCTTTATAAAGGTATATTATTAGAATAAAATGATCTCTTTTATCTATCTTCAGTATGTTATCTGTGTACTGAAACAATCAGTGAGCTGGTACATAATTGTATGAGATAATATATTGATAAATTATGTAGCATGTGGTCATATGGTGGTTAACAACTGAACCTGACTTTTCTTGAGAGCACAGATGTGTTAGGAGCTGCTGACTTCTCTGACCCTAGGTAGTTTACTGAATCAAAAATATTTATATATGTTCATATGTATTTATAATATACATATAAATGAATATACATATTATATATGATTTAATATGTTAATATAAGCATTATATTATGTTAATATAAAATATACTTATTATATTTATTATATCATATATATAACAATGTAATTATATAATATGTAATTATATATAATGTATATTATATATAATATATAAATAGTATAATAATATAATTGATATATTAGTGTAGTAATATATAATGGTATAATATATATATTATTCACTGATGGGGAAGGGTTTTTATGAAGTATGTCCATTTTTATGAATCATCTTCTTGCCATACTTGGAAGTTTTTTTTATTTTTATAATGTTGGTATCCTTGCTGTGTGCTTGTGATTAATACTCAATTGTCTCTGTGGTCCAAATAATAAGCCCATACCCAAATTTTCTTATTTAATGTTCTGCCTATCAGCAATTTGCAGGTTTTATTCTTGACTACAATTCTGACCACACTTTAATTTATATGTTTTGTCACATTGTAAGGCTCCCCCATGGCATGGCTCATTGCCTTCTTTGCATTCCTGGCATCTAGCACTTTGCTAGGTAGAACAGGAAAGAAGTGATCCGTATATGTTTATGGGATAAATAAACTAGGAAAGAATAGAAAGGAAGTCAAATCGATCTGAAAGTAGCTTGTATTTCTAAGAATCCAGAAACTGAGCTTCCAAGAAATCTTTAAAAAGATTACTGATCTAGGAGGATTGGGCCTCTAGGAAGACGATGTAATGCCAAGTAAGTTAGGATTTGTATGTTTTATCTATTTGTCTCTGGTTGGAGAGTATAAAATATAAATGTTCCAACTATTTTGAAGCGTTTCTTTTAACTAACTTAATACATTATAATTCATTAAACAGAGGCGGGCTAGCAGAAAGACTAAATGGCCTGCAGAATCGAGAGAGATCTGCCATTTCTTTGTGGAGACATCAGTGTGTTTCTTACCAAAAGACACTTTCAGGTAAGGCCTGCACTGACATCTGAGACTGTGGGTAAAGAATGTGCCAATTGAAAGTATGTTATTTGATCATTACTATTTTCATGATGTTTTCTTTTTCTCCAGGTGTCCTTTAGGTCTCAGAAATTTTTCTGAAAGATGAGTCCGTTCTTACAAGGTCTACTGATCCCTCCCCATAGAACTTCTCACAGTTCAATAGAAGACTTATTATTGATCTTACTTGGAGGGTTCTGTATTAGGCCTTTCTTTTGTTGTATCTTTTGCTGTATCTGAAAGCCAGTAGCTTTCAGACTTTTGTGACTGCGACCCCTAGTAAGAAATACATCTTGTATCTTCTCCCAGTGCACACATGACTTACATGCACACACACACACAAACACACACACACACGCACACCCCTGAAACATTTTATAAACAGCACTAACCTTACTAGGTTTGATATACTCTTCATTCTCTTTTATTTTTACCATAATCCTAGTCTCACTAAATTGATGTAGGTTCCTTCTAATGAGTTGCAAGATGTAGTTTGAAAGTTGCTACTACAAGCAAGTGACTGGAAACTCTTGTTTCTTAACAAACTGTTTGATCTTAAAAATATTTCATATACCTAGAAAAGCTTCCTTTCCTGTGAGACTGTGTTCTTTTTCATGGTTTCTTCCTGAGTGGTCTCTCCATCAGGAGGTGGGGAAGAAGTGGGTGAACATGGTGTCTATTCCAAATCTATTAATAGTTTTCTCTCCAGGGGGATCCTTGGAATGGCTCACAGGTTATTTTGGCAAATGTTAGCATGCAAAATAGAACAAGAGTGCTAGGTAGAATACTGAACTAGTATGTTGTCAACTCTTGCACATTTCTCTGGAAGACTTTTTTTAAGTCTGATCTCATTTATTATCTTTAAAATACTTCTCAGCTGGCACCTGGATGTCTCAGTTGATGGAGCATCTGACTCTTGATCTCAGAGTTGTGAGTTTGAGCCCCAGGTTAGGTGTAGAGATTACTTAAAATTTTAAAATCTTAAAAATAAAATAGGGGTGCCTGGGTGGCTCAGTCAGTTAAGTGCCTGACTCTTGGTTTTGTCTCAGGTCCTGATCTTATGGGTCATGAGATCAAGTCCCACATAGGACTCCATGCTCAGCAGGAGTCTGCTTGGATATTCTCTCCCTCTTCTCCACTCATTTGTTTGTCTCTCTCTCAAATATATAAATCTTAATAAAATAAAATTAAAATTAAATAAAGTAAAATAAAAAATAAATAAAATAAAATAAAATAATAAAAAATAAAATATAAAATTAAAAAATAAAATAAAATATAAAATAAAATAAAATCCTTTCCAGCTATCTTTTAGCATCTGTCTTTTCTCTTTCACATTCTTGTATTAGAGTATTATAATACATATCAGGATGACCCAAGAATACTTTTTTTGTTACACGGTGCTATGGATCAGCCTGTTGTTACATTTATTACTTTGTATCTTGTCATTTTTTTAAAACAAGGATTATATTAAATAATCATCTTTACAACTCATTTGATTAGTCAGAAAGCCAAGCATATATAAAGGTTGACAAGTTGTATTACTCAGGGAAGTCAGTAATACTCTGGCTTAAGCACAAAAAAGAATTTAATAGTGCTTATAATTGAAAGCCACAGGGAGAAGATTTCATGCTTCAGGTATATTGGTCTGAAAAGGTTGTTAGGTCTTTTCCATGTGGTAACTTACAGCTACAAGTCCGATAAAAAGAAGGCTTTCTTTTTCAGTATTTTACCAGAAATTCTGAAGTGATTTTCATTGATCTGCTGAGACATGTATCCGTCCTGGAACTAATCAGTGTTGAAGTAGAATATAATAAATAGCACTATACTAGCCCTATGATTAACTTGTGATCTTTTTCTATTAAGACTTATTTAATAAAAATTAACAAGTACCATTTATGGTTTAATAATATATTATCTCATTTTAGTGATCTTTCATGTTCTCCTATTTATAAATACTTATATATACATACTTAACCTCTCAAATATGAATGTCCTTGAGAGATCACTTTCTCCTATAATCTATTCACCTCCACCTCTAACTAGTTCTGTTTAGCTTTGTGTCATTTTCAATTTAGTTTGGGATTCTATGCATTTAAAATTTCTTTTGTTCTGCTTGAACCAGAAAAACAAGGCTTTGCCATCTATTTCTCTTTGTTCCTGTTCTGCTTTTGCCTCCCTTCCTTTGAAGTAATCATATAAGAGAATAGTAAGCTTGGATTTCTTTTTGAGTGGATATAAATATTTAAGTTATTAAGTTTCAGTACGGCAACTTTTATTTCTTAGTGATATAGACTAGCTTTATATTGAGAGGTTGGGATGGGGTCATAAGCCACAAAATGGTAAAAACAAGATGGGAAGAATGGAGGACAAGAAGAGGATGGCAAACAGTAACTGGGATACTTAGCTTTTCCTTGGAGTCTGGCCACTGTACACTTAAAAGGCTGAACATTGGAAGTGCCATCTATATGCTACATTAGTGTTCATGCCACAGCCTTTTTTCCTTTCCCTAACAAAAAGGTAGAATGTTAATTCTTGAGGGTTCTTAAAAATCTTATAGTATCAGCTCCTTTTTGGGGGATGGAGAGAGTATGTGGCCTAGAAGAGGGAAATGACTTGCTCTATTATTCAGATTAACGGAAGAAACAGGGCTAGAACCCTAGCCACCTGACTGCCAGTGTCATGCTCTTTCAGTGGGATCACTTTCTGCCTCATAAAAATAATTTTTTCACTCCTCTACCAATTTGCTCTTGATATTACATTAAGGAATAAACAAACACCCCAGATTGGACTTTATGTGTCCAGTATGGTATCTGTCCTGAATTTTGTTGACTTTATAGGCTTGCAATATTGTAAATATCATCAAGATGAGAGGAAGAGTTGGACAAACTTTAATTTGGACCATAAATTCCTAATAATAATTGGAGAAAAATAGCTTCTTCTTTCCTCCTTCAACATTGTCCTTGTCATTGTTGTATCACATTTGAAGGTTTACTATATGGTAGGTATAATGCTGAGGGCTTACTACATATTAAATCATTTAGTATGCAAAATAATGCTCTAAGATTCAATTTGCTTTCCTTATTTTCCAGATGAAAAAGCTGTAGGTCAGGGCACCTGGGTGGCTCAGTTGGTTAAGCACCTGCCTTCCACTCAGGTCATGATCCCAGGGTCCTGGGATCGAGCCCCACATTGGAATTCCTACTCAGCAGGGAGGCTGCTGCTCCCCCTGCTCGTTCTCCCTCTCTTTCTCTCTCTCTCTCTCCCCCTCTCTCAGATAAATAAATTAAAAAAAGAAAAAAGCTGTAGATCGAATGAATATATGGTATAGATGAGTAAGCCCAGGTTTGAGGTTATCTCTGTAGTCCATGTTCTTATTCACCAATCTGTGTGGGCCTTCATTAGATGATCTGTTTGGGCTGGAGGAAGGATTTAAGAAGGCAAGTGATTAAGGAACCAGCAAAATTAGAAATACTGATAAAATGTGATTTTGTTTGGGGAAAAAGTAGTCTTTCAGTGTGAAGGTCCATATCACGTTCTTGAGACAGCACTATTTTAAGGAGTCTAGGACATAAATTTGAAGGTTATAAATCATGAATCTTGTGTAGGATACCCTAAAATCTTATGATTTTGATAGGGAGGTGGCAGACTGTCTTCTTAATTATTCATGTTAATATATACTAGAAGTCATTCTACATTGTTGTCTAGGTTTCTCATTACAGTGAATTGACCAAATTGTCAAGCACAGACTAGAGACAGTTATCTTCTGGAAGTTGGAATAGGAAAATATCAAGTCAAACAAGTGTGACTCTGTGCCTAAAATGAAGGGGAGAAATATGACCTTTTATTTGGCTCAGAAGCACCAAATAGTTTATTTGGACTGTCCCTTATAATTTGGGGATAGAGGGTATATCAATTATACCATGAATAAAGGACAAAGGCAAAATGAAACAAAAACACAGAGTCAAAAATGAATCCATTACTTCGGTATATGAATGTGCCCATCTCCAGTGGTTTTACTTTCTTTTGTTTTTTAAGTAGGTTCCATGCACAACCTGAGGCTCAAACTGATAACCCTGAGATCAAGAGTCATGTTCTCTACCGATTGAGATTTGGATTTTATTTTTCCTTTCTTTTAGATGAATTTCTTATTTTTCAGGTCTATTAGATCCTCTTCTTGGTGTCTTGTAATACGTTGTGCCATTTTTCTCATTCCTTTTGATATAACTTATTATAAACATGTATTAGGAAGAAAATTTCACTATTTTGTTTACTTTATGGCCTGGCAGAAGCTTTTTCTTTCAGTTTACATTTCTTATTTCTACATATTTATAGTAACTGAGTAAATAAAAGAAAAATGTATTAATATTAAATAGAGGTAGTTCCTTCTAACCCCAATCCCAAGAATGAAAATTTAGTAAATAGCTGAGATTTAATGATGGATTTATTAAGATATCTATATTATTAATCTAAACTCTCTGAGCCTCTTAATTTCCCTATCATAAGTGAGTGTAATAGTAGTACCTCAACTATTGAGCTTGTGCTAACAATAAATCTGATACTTCATGGGAGCACATACAGCTGCAGGACAGAGTCAGCACTCAATAGATGGGGAAAAGAAAGAGACACTGCATTATTCTGCAAAATCAGCTTCTCCTCCTCTTCCTTAGGGTTTGGATGTACCTTTGGGTTTACAAGGTATTGCAGTCAGAGTTCCATTTTATTTCTCACACACAGAAGTGGATTGTTCATCCTAGGTTAATTTTGACTGAACAGGTGAATACATCGGGCTTGGCTTTTCCCTTCTTCTAATGGGTTTACTGAGAAATCTAGGAATTAGTAGTACTTTTATGAACCACATCTTGGCTTTTGGTTAGATATTAAGTATAGCATATCTCACTCAGTCTATCTTTATCTCTTTCAGACATGAGAAGTAATGGTTTACAAAATTAATGTGTCAATTGTAATTATTT